GCGGCCCGACTGTCACCTTCGGAGAGCTAAGCCCAGCCTGAGTCTGAACCAGCCTGACGCACTAAAGAAGCCGCCGACCGTGTCTGCCGCGAGCTGGCCGGGTCAGGGGCTTCGGAAGCCCAGAGACCCGCCGTCTGAACTGCGAGGCCTCGCTGATGCTGGGCACGGATTATGCGACGCACGCTCTGCTCTGACGCCCGGCGGCACCGAGGCGCTCCGCGGCCCCCTCGGGTGGACATCAGGGCTGGGGGGACGCTGCTGGCCTGACTGAGGCTGCCCGTCCGGTGGGCTGAGAAATCGGACCCCGGGACTCGTGCGCGGCACTGAGGGCCTGGGGTCTTCCGCTAGGTCTGCGGTGGGCGGAGGGGGCCTGCTCTCCTAAGATGCCAGGGAGCCGGCCCTGCAGCACGCGGCAGACGAGTGAGGCTGCTCTCGGCCTCCCGCTAGGGTCACGTGTAGATTAGTATTCTTCCTATTCTGTGGCTACCCCAAGGTCTGGAGGACAGGTTTTCAGTTTGCATTTAGTAAATGACCCTCAGATACAGGCAGCTGTGAGACGGAGTCGCCCTCCGCATTAAAGCCGCGTCCGAGGCCCCGCGGCCCGGTCAGCACCGGCCCCTCTTGGGTCGCTCTCGGCCTCTGCCTTGTGGTCACTACCCTGAGCCCAGGCTCCCTGCTTACAGGGGCTTGCGGACCCTCGCGTGGACGAGGCCAGTGGGCGGCCCAGCCCAGGGGCCCGCACGTCTTCCGGCCACCCGAGGGGCTGTGCCAGACACGGGGCGTGGGACAGCGGCCTGTCCGGGCTGAACTTACGGCGCTGGCGTTTCCCCCGACCTGCATGCAGCGCAGCTGGAACCAGGACCAGTTGGAGTCCAGCTCCGTGGACCTCAAAGGAAAGAACACGCACAAGAGTTAGTGATTGCTTCCCAGAACAAAACGGAACTTCTGAGAACAGGGTTTCCTGGCTCTCAGGATCCGGAAGGGTCCAAGTTGGTGTCCGCTGGACAGCGTCCAGGTGCTAGGACTTGAGAACAGTGGGGGAGCAGCCCCGGGCCCCAGCCATCTCCCTGGGAGCCAGCGGCCGGCACCCCGGGCCTGCACCCCGCCCGGGCCAGGCCTGCCAGCCAGCAGCTCTGAGGCCGGCCGGCGCCTCCTGGGGGCGTGGGGGCCTGTGAGCGCCAGGCTGTGGGGCAGCTGGGCCTCTGCCTCGCACCTCACGGCGTCAGGGCCTGGACTGCGGAGATGCGCCTCCGCGGGAGAGGGGGAGCTGGGGGCCGGTGTCCGCCGGCCTGGCTGACCCCCGAGGGGGCCGGCAGGAGGCACCTCCCCACCACCAGCGAGGGGGCTCGCAGCCGAGCTCCCCGGTGAAAGTGCCGCGGCCGCCCCGGCCCTGCGTACCTGGCAAGGTCCCGCAGAGCAGGGCAGGCGGCACGTGGCCCCGCGTGTAAATCCCCGAGCGAAGAGCCAGGAAGCGTGAGGGGCGCGGCGGCGGGGCCTTTCTGCCAGCCCGGGGCGGGGGCCAGGAGCCACGCACCCCACAGCAGCGCAGGCCCAGTGCGTGGGCAGCTCCGGGGAGTTACGGGAAGGGCAGGAAGGGGCCTCGGCGGCCAGCCTCCTGCTGGGCCTGGGCGGCGTGGACACTCGCGCGTGGACACGCGGCGGCTCAGGGAAGGCAGCTGCATCACACTTCCAGGCCGGCGCGAGCCCCGAGCACGCGGCCACGGGGCGGTCACCTGGCCTCTGTTCTCGCCCTATCCCGTGACAGGCCCTGCTCACTCCCGGCCCCCGACTGACTCCCGGGAACCCCCCGCCCGGCTCGCGTGAGCGTGGTGGCCTTGGGGAGCCCTCACGTTCCCTCACCCGTAAAGTGCCGCACCCCTGTATCGGACTTGTAGAAATTAAAAATACCGACGTCCGAGACGTCCGTGGCTCCTGGTACAAACCGCGTGGCCGAGGTTCCCCTGCAGCCCCGCGGCAGCCAGTCCCCGGGTGCAAGCAGCACGCTCGGGCAGGGCCCCCCCACGACGGGCCGGGGGGGCCGACACCAGTGTGCCCTAAGCCGAGGCTGCCAGACGCATACCTGAGAGCCCCACAAATTTGGCCCTAAACTGGCTTAAAAAAATAAAGTCAAACATTTCCAGACAGATTTCTCTGAAATGAGCGTAAAAACGAGTCGCCGTTGCACTGAGCTGACGGGAATTCTCTGAGACGCCGGATCCCAGACGGAGTCCTCAGGGCCGAGCCCCGAGCGCCGTCAACCCAGGGACCCGACCTGGCCCTGGCCGTCCACAGGGGCCCTGGCCGCACGGTGCGAGGGGCGCCCAGGGGTGCGAGGGGCGCCCCTGGCAGCGCCAGAGAAGGGAAGAGAGAGGAAGACGAGCCGCAGAGCAGGTGCCGCCGTGACAGGACATCGCCGGTGGCCAGCAGGGGGCTGGCGCTGACCCCGAAGCCCCGCACCCGACAGGACAGACCCCTGACAAGTGTGTGCCTGCTGCCAGGGCACAGTCCTCTCTGGCCAGTGGGCATCTCCATGGAGTCCAGACTCAGGAGACGAGGAGGAAACGCACTCTGCAAACCGTCCCACGTGGGCCGTGACAGCCCGGAGCGCCAGCTCGCCCGGGCGCGACCGCGAGGGGCCTGCAGGAGGGCGCCCTCCTGCAGCAACAGCTCCCTGGCCGCCGGCTCCTGGCCCGCTCCTGGCCCGCCGGCTCCTTCCGCTTGGGAAAAGTTCCCTTGCCCACCTGCTAACATGGATTTCTATTTTTAGAAAAACCCGGCTGAGATAAACACTCTCCCCGCCCCCAAACCCTGTGCCAAATGCTGGCGTGATCAGGCCGGGGCTGGGCGTGTGCTCACCTGTGTGTGTGTGTGCAGGTGCGTGTGGGTGTGGGTGGCGGGGGGAGGGGCGCGAGCGGAGGCACCCTGGCTTCTTTGGGTTTGGGGGCTACTCGGATTTCCCCCAACGAGCTCGTGCTTGTAATGCTCTCAATAAAAAGAGATACTGAGGAAGAGCCCCCAACCCCCACCTCCTAAAACATGCAAACCAGCTGACTGTCTCTTGGACTTCTGGACTTTCTCTGGCCGGAGCCCAGACGCCGCCGGCCTCAGTGTTCCCTGAGACGCTGGGCCGCCTGCATGTGGCCCTGCCGCCCGCCCGCTGCCTCCAGCCAGTGCTTCGGGCTCCAGCCAGACCCTCGAGCGGCCGACGCGCCCCCAACCCGATTTCCTGGAATGACTCGCGCCGCCGCGGCTCTCCTGGGGGAGGGAGGCCGGCGTGAGGCGCGGCCGGAGTGTGGACAGGTCGGGGTGGCCCTGGACAGCGGGCCCACCCCGGGGCAGAAGCCTGGCAACTGGGTGCTTCGACGTGCGTAAGGTCAAGGAGAGGACGGCGCATGCAGAGCGGCCGGCGGCC